GAGCTCCTGAATTAGTCTTATCACCAAGCAGCCCAAACATGAGTTCAAGAAAAATGACATCTTGTGCAGAAAACATAAATGGAGAAGCCCAGAAATCAATAATTCTGAAGTAATGGAGAAACATAAATGAACACGGTGTCACACAGGTGATTTAGGTGAACACAGGTACGACGAGAACTGCACGAGCGACGACACAAGGATGACTTCGTTGTCCCACGAGCGGAACGCTGGTAGTAAAGCGGGCCTTCAATTAAGAGGAGCCTCGGCAAGGAAAATGTCTATTTTCCAAGAATAGTCACTTCGGGAATGTTCATTTTTCTAGTTAGGAAGAGATTTTCTAGAAATTCCAGTGAAGATGAAAAATCTCTTAATGTTCTGAGTAAAGTGCGCTTTAAAGTTTTAATCATCAGCTGAAGAAAAAAGCTCTATATTAGCAAAGATAACGCAACCCAAGCCCGCTTACGCAAGCAGCTTGCAGCCGGGCAAACCTCCCACGATCTCTTTACATGCGTTTCACATTCTCAAAACTGAAAACTGTCACCTTTAAACACCCTTACAGGATCCAAAGAAAACTCGATTTCTCCACCCACGAAAAACTATAGGCAGAAAAATTACATATAAAATTAAACTTGACGAACCCGAGAATTTCTCTTTTTATTCGTTGATAGAATTAACAGTCCCTTCGGTAAATAGAAATAGAGATGTTGTACAAAGACCTGAGCTGGTTATATTTGAGTAACCTCAAAGGAGAGAGAAAAAATAAAAATTATTAAAATAAAAATTATTCTGCCCTTAAAATGAAATCTACGGACGCTCATCCGCCCAAAAGAAACTCATTTACTCAACACTTGCAGCATTCACAAAGAAAAGAGAACCAGGACGCAAATTAAATTTTCCTTTTATCACCCAGCAAACAAAACCCCAGCAGCGCGAAAGACATCTCGGTTATCGTAGAGTTCACAAAGATGTCGTTTTCATCCAGATGTTCGGAAAAGAAACGTTCCCTACCTATGATAGGAGAAAAAATTGAACCATTGAAAAATATATAGAGCTAAATATTTTAACTTTAAAATATATAGCTACTACACTCTTTACAATTTCAATTTAAATAAAGTACCTAAATATTTACTGGTTCAATTAGTAAATAAGTACAATTGAAAACTCGCAACACAACAAAAGATTCCTGGTGTAAATTTTGAACAAACATTTATCGATTTTATAGGGTGATGAGACACGCAGATAGTGCTTCTTCTTCAGGAGCGAACAACTTACCAGTATATATATATATACAGAACTCCATTTGAAACTAGGTAAAAACGCCAACTTTAAATAGTTGCATGTCTTTATAAAGGTTTGTGCCTCTTTAGGAACATAAACTTTTAAGGTCTGAAGAATTAGCTTCTCTAGATTTGTGAAACTAAACAGAGATCAGATGAAGGGTGTATAAGAACCTTTATTTAATCATAAAATTACCAAATGACCAAACTTCGGTTATAAGGAGCCAACACTTCTGGCTTAACAGAAATACGTAACATATATAAATTTCAAGGTGTGTAGGGATATTTTAACGTTTAACAGGATACCTTCACAGGATACTTGAACGGGCAGGAATTCCTCTGGCCTAAAGTAATCGTCGAGACAAGAACACATCAACGTCGCTAACGCAAATCGTGAATAATCACAGCGCAAAGTGTCCTAGTATAGGCAGACATGCTCTGGAAACTAACTTCCCGAAACTCTTGCATAAATACCTTTTCATTCTACTTAATCTGAGTAAACTCTTGCTATCTCATTTACATTCGGCATGAAAAGCGTGGGTGAAAAGAGAGTAGAATGCTTTTTGTGCTCATGGCAAGCCACTGCCCCTTGGTTTAAGGCAGCGTTTAGAGAAATACTGCTTAACGTTTTCCCCGAGACATTCTTTTCTGTATTGTTTCAATTAATACGTATATTTTCGTATTAAACACCTGTTACCACATTGCAAATTTAATTCAAATTAAAAAATACTGAATAAGCCCAAACGCTGGATATTTGTGCATTTAAGGAAGTATGCTTTTAATTATGTAATTAATTTAATTTTTGATATATTAAAAAAAGTCTGCTTTAAATAAAAAGGTCCGACCTGCATCACAACATATTTTGAAAAGTTATCATTGTCGAGTTAAGTCTCAAAGTTATATTTCGAACTAATTAATTTTTTTTCATGTATTTCAGTCTGCACTTCATGTTCGTTTCATTAATTTAAGATGGGAAGAAATAATTTTGTTTTTACTAATTTCTATATTTCCATGCTTTTATTTAACTCTTTAAAAAGATTTTGAAAACTTCAAACTCACTTTTTCTTTGTTATCTAGGATTACAAAACATTTCTAGTCTTCGTTCCTTAATGTCATCTAAAATTCTTAACTTAATCTAAATCCTTTTTGCAGAGTGCTCTAAAATTCTTTTTCTAAAAATGTTAAATCTCGTACTTGAACATTCTGGCTAACTAAAAAATGATAGCATTAATAATGTGTTTCAAGGTTTTGGTGCCCAAACGCATTTAAGACATAAAAGAAAGAGATAAAAAGAACAAAACTGGGGCTTCATTTATAATTTGAATTCTTACTGAAGTAGAGGTACATAAAGAGAGGTCACTAAAAGCAACAACATTCTTCTAACCTATGCTAAAGACAATTATCTAATCTCTAACCTTACCGTTTTTGCAAGGAGATAGGTTAAGCGTTAGCAACAACAACATTTCTGAAAAACTTGAGGTTTGAGCTAATATCTCAGCGGAAAAAATTGAAGAAAAAGAAAACTACTCAAAATTTGTTGTTACATATCAAAAATTAAGATTTAACCCTAAACTGGAAAGAAAGATAGTTCTTGAATATTGTGCAAATAATGCAGATGTAAAATATTAGAAAACAACAACGACAAAATCAATCTTGTAAACAGTAGGTGAAAGAAACAATCTCGTCTGTGTCCTATCTGGCAGATAAACAAAAATATGGAAAGAGTACATTTTTATTCTTGACGAGGGTTAAACACAAGGATTCTTCTGGTACAGCTGCTTTGTGGAGAAATGTTTAGTCACAGTTTTAAAAGAAATATATTAAGTAAATGCAATGTTACTTAGAGAGAAATTTTCGCTTTCCACATAACATGAGGTGCTTGAAGTGAGTGATAATTAACGTAGTAAATAGTTAAAGTCAGTAGGAAATAGTTGGAAGGGACATTGAAAAAAAATCTGAAAGGTTTGAGATTTAAAGTTCGCCCAAAAGGGTTTGTTAAGTTTTTTTTTTTTTTTTTTTTTTTTTTTTTTACGCTCTCGCAGTCTTCCGGTCTGCTATTACTCTCACTGTTAAGCTATTTCTTTTTGTCTTTTTAACTTTGTCATTAAGCATCGTTTATTCCGCACTTACGTCATATACATTTCAACCCCAAAATTACAAAAGGCAGCATTTTCGTATATAATTCATATAGAATTTTCGAAGCAGTTTTAAATGTTGACATATATTTTTCTAATTTTTTGAATCTTTTTAGTTTATCATATCAATGATTAGTTTTCATAGTAAGATGTAATTTACGATAGACAGTTGCGCTGGAGATAAAAAATGATTTATTCTGTACAATGTTCTGACTGCTGACTTTTTGATAGTTCAGTTTATTAACAAAAAATTGCAAAATATGAAATATAAAATTGGAAATTCAAAATTCGGCCTTTCAGATGCACATGTTCGGGTGGAAGAATACATTAATCAAAATCGGATGCCTGTAAGTACCATCGTTTATTCACAATGCTAGGAGTATACGTATTGTTACTTATTTAATTTATTTTGAAATAATACAGGGCTATTGTGGTTATTTATAATTTTAATGTTATAATAATATTTGGTAGCAACAATTTGAAAAGTAATACGCCGTTTTTAGGAAGCCAACGAGAAATCCTATTTTTCGATATTAATAGCCCTTTTTTGGTTAATAAGCAAACTGTTTGGATGAACTACTATGTTCATAATTACCTAGGATATTCATTTTTGATTGCTTCTGGTCTCTATCAATTGAAAGTTTGCCTGGTTATTAGAATGCTAGAACACACGATAGGGGAAAAAATCTCAGCATTGAAAACTCAGGTCCCTATATATAAAGGAAAATTTTTTAGTAAGATTTGTTAAACAAAAATATAATAACATAAATTGGTTTATAAACCTCAAAAGTAGTTTTGTTCATAATTTAAAATTTTAATTTGAGAGATTTCAAGTAATTTTCAAAGCCAAATTTTAAGAAATTTAAATTTTTAATTGAAATTTTTAAGTGCCCGTAGGGGTTCGAGAAATGCCTGGTACATATCAGTGGTCCTGTAGTAAAAACAGCTAAATGCAGGTAGTTTGACCCCGCTCAAAGGGAAGTCTGCATAGGAGTTTTCGTTTTTCCTCCCTATGTTTAACGTTTACCGGCCAGTTTCATTAAACCCTTTTGCATGAAAGCAAACTTTCCCTTACGCAAATAGTCCTCCAATGCTTTCCCATAACCAACATTAAATATCTAATTCATTCGAGAAATTGATTTGGTTTGGTTTATGTGATTACGTCAATGTCGAGGACTATCTATCTGCCTTCGTGGAGAACGTTCTAAGGGAAAATGGCTCGTATACACGTTATACATGTTGAAAACCACGAAAACGACTATGCAGCCAGCCCGTCGAACCTCGGACCGAACTATTAGTGTTCAGCGACTTTACCGCTCGGTCGTTGGTGGGCATGGAACATAAACTGAAATTTCCTTATCTCTGAAAAATGTCACAGCTCATGTATTGGTTTTGAGTTTTTGCAATTTAGTATTGATTTGCAAATAGTGGAATTTTTTTTTCTGTTTTAGCTTATTTTGTTGTTTTGTCTTCCGAAATATTAGGATAAAATCTTTCATTTATACAGAATTATTTTCTCTGCAAGTATCAGACTTATAATATACTTCTGCTAATGTGCATTTTATACCACTGCTGATTTATTTTTAAAGGTCCTTGTAAAGGAAGCAGCTTGGCTCGGTTTATATCAGAAGAATAAATGCGGTGGTGTTCTGATTTCATCGAAATATGCTATAACTGCCGGACATTGCCAACCAGGGTAAGCTATGGAATAATTTTAATTGTTTTTATTGTTCAGATATAGTAACGTATTACTTTCCTGCACAGCAAAGTACAATGAATCTTTGGGATGCGAAATGAGGCGTAAATTTCTGGTATGCAATAATCTCTTGACTGACTCATTTCTGTGGGATAGAATCTTTGTAAGATAAACAAAAACCAGCAATCCAAAATCATGATGATAAGGAACATTTTTTGCATACTTATCAAATACAGGTACTTAAGTATTACCGCAACCACCTTAGCAGAATTCGCTAAATTTCCAGAATTCGACAAACTCTAGCAAACATTATCACAACAATTCTTCCGGCAACTATACTCATAACAATCCTTCAGTTAAAACAACATTTTAATATGCGTATTTTTTGTTGTATTATAAGTTCAAACGGTTTTTATAAAGAAATCGTGATATTTTTTGACTTAAAATTAATTTCAAAATATGCGCTTGTGGTATTTGCCAACAGTGGAAGAAACTGCGGTAAAATATCAGCAGGAATTCAGAATTTTGTCGCAGAATCTCTCTAAAGGAAACAAGGAGATACGTTTGGTTAGATAGCCAGTGTGGCGGAGATTTGCTCGATACCGAATCTCTGCCATTTCGGAAAGGTTGCTGTGTGTTTGAGGAGAAGAATGTCATAAAAATACGACAAAGAAGCGATTAAATGTTTTGTTTTTTAATGTTTATGTTTAATGTTTAATGTAATTTTTATTTAACAATTAAAATCTCTATTTTAAATTACTAAAGGATGTTCATTTTATGTGTTCAATAAATAAATCGGGAAAATTTTTTAACAATTTTGCCAAAACCACTAGCTTGCACCCGAAAATATCTTTTACCTTTTCGTCTGTAAAAAATCGCCAAATAGCGCCAAGGTCGTTGCGTTAATACTTGCTTGCGTAACAAGATATGTATCTCTGTTGTGTATATATAGTTAAAGGAATCAGCATTTTCATCTTTTTAATACTATTTTTTACTTCAAAGCAAAATAATGCACTTTTTTTATAATGATAACGGGGAAAGTGCAGAATCGCCCACTGCTTGGCGCGTTTTTAAGAATTGCATTAACTCGGTATCCATGTATACATCGACCTATGTTCACTTAAAAGAAATTCCAGAATTAGACAAAAAAAGGCATTGCGCACTCCCTTGACTTTATCCATGTACACATCGACCTATTTTCACTTAAAAAGTCAAAGAAAATTGACAAAAATCCAATGCTTCTTACTCTTGTAAAAAGCGCCAAACGAACGCCAAATAAAGAAGTGGACAATTGTGCACTTTAGCCAAGATAACATCAGTTTTATTTTGGGGTACATCTCATCGCAGTTTCAAGTACTTATTGGAGCCTTCCTCTTGTTTTGAGACTATAATTTCAAATTCAGGTAAATGAAGACGGGGGAAAAAAAAATCTACTGTTGGGGGGTAGGGTTCATTTTTTTAATTATGATAATGATTTACTTTACTTTTTTGATGAAGTAATACACTGTTACGAATTTATTATAATGCGGTATACTTTTTCCCGAATATATTAGTTACAATGCATTGTACGTTTTCCTAAATTTATGTAAATATAAGTACGTAATAATCTAAAGTTTGTTTTCTTCTGTCCTTGAAGGAGATTCCTTTCATCATTAATGGTAATTCTTGGAGAACACGATTTGCTAACAGATTATGAAAGACTGAAACCAGAAATGCGCCGAGTAAAGAGGATGATTGTTCATCGGCATTATAATCCTCAAAATTTCGATAACGATATCGCATTACTCGAACTGGATCCTCCTGTGACATTTCGTCCTCATATAGCACCTATTTGCCTTCCAGCGGCGGATGAAGACTTTACGGGAAAAATGGCATACGTCACTGGCTGGGGAAAAACAGCTCACGGTAAGTGCTGCTATCTGTTGATCAATTGAGTAACTAAAATTGGAAACAAACGAATCTGATTATGATTTGAAGACGCATTGCATTAACCTTAGAGCCACTTGGGTTTTAATGTAAATTTGCAATAAACACAAAAGATTCGTTTCTGAAATTAACGAAGCTAAAAGATATTATAGCACTATATTTTTGTCTCTGAGAATTCACCAATCATTTATAATTAATGCTCTCCGGAAAATACATCTTTATCAGTTACTCTTTCAATGCTAATTAATTATCGCTGCATTCAGTACATTTTGAATAACAGGCTCAGTGCAGAATTTAAGTATAAATTATACAAGCTATAGCTTAGGGCTCCCACTTTCTTGAGGATCCCCCCAAAATTTAAAATATAGTATAAATATAGTATAACAGATTTATAAAGAGTCTGAAATAGCTTAGGGACTCATCAAGTCTAAATCCGGCCCTGGTTAGTTTTGATTATGTCAAAACTTATAAGGGCTATCTGCCTAAGGGGCGGTATGCCTTCGTGGAGGACTTTTAAGGAGAAACCAACTCATATTCACGTTATACATGAAGAAACCCACAAAAACACCTATACATATACCAGGTCAGCATTGATACGGGGTCCCTTCTTCTGAGCTATGGGAACACTCGTGTCCAGGTGGGCTGAAAGGAGCCTCCAATCCTTACAATTCTTACAAGGTCAGTATTAAGCGACTTTACTGCTCTGCCGCAGGTGGGTTAGTAATAGTTAGGGGTAATATTTGAAGAATTACAGGTTAGTGAACGATATGTTGCTGATAATAACTTAAATTTTATGCACAGAATATTTCAAGAAAGTGGTTATTAAAATATTTATCGAAATGTTCACACAAGACGTGTTCTTAATGAGACTGCTAATAAGGTCACAAACGTTTTTGACGTGTGACCTCTTCGAGGTGAGCAATAATTTATCTGCCCCTGAAAAAAAAAGTTACGGTAATTGTCAGAGAGAATAAAGAGGAATTAAAACCGTGACCTGCGGAGGGCATGTTTTACACCCACAAACCATTCTCGACACAGACACAACATATCATATGCAGTTCATGATTTTCATGAACGAGATTCATAGATTCGTGAAGTTGCCCTTTCGAAGTTTAGGCAGTTCGTAAGTTGCTCTAAAGAGTTTACAGGGCGGCAAAATCCTGAAAATACTCTGGATTGATTGCACGAAAGTTAACAAGCTTAAAGCAGCCGTCTAAATATAATTATCACGTAAGAAAGAAAATTTAAACATTTCAGTCGAATAAACTCAAAAAATATTTTAAAGTTATGAATAGGATAAAAATGTATTAAAACACCCCAGACAGTTTTTTTTAGACTTTCTTCTAGCGATATGTTGGTAGGCGGTTGTGATTAAGCATTTTGGTGGCCAAGACCCGGAAACTTAAAAGTGCACCTTAGGGTCATATGCTTAATATTATACATTCGTGGATATAATTTTTCATTCTTATTTAGTAAAATCTTTCAAAATTGTTGGTAAAATTTCTGAAATGAGTATATTTTTTCCGTTATTATTTCCTTTTTTTCATTTTTCGACATTTGAACATAAACAAAAATATAATAATATTTTTTTTTACATTGTAACAACCTTCCTCGGTAAAGAAACTTCATATGTGACTAATAAGGAATCGCAAAAAAATAGGGTTTTTCTGACAACATCAAACAAAACCAATCTTTGTAATTGATCATCAGACTGCAGTAACTGTACGTGCTGCTAATAATAGGGTGTAATTGGTTAGAATTCAGGATCTTCCAGATGGTTGACCAAAGCGAATAGTGATTGCTTGTGTACTGGCAAGTGGAATGTCTTCGTCATGACGAAACACCATATCTTCGTTTTTAGGGGTCCATGCCATTCGTCCCCGATTCATGACACGTCTGTCAAGGAACTGTTTTTTATATACTCTTTAATGCAGACATCTGGCAGCCGGGAAAACATCTCATCAAGCAGCGCTATCGGTACCCATACGTGCAACTGTTCACCTACTGCAATCAACAGTTCGGTGTGCTAGATGCATATCTGCTTGTCTCCGGTTTTGTGAGACCTTCCATCTTACTACCTCTGCGGGTAGTTTTATAACGACGGTTTCCTGTGCAGCCTTTTCACCCTTTTCGTATCGCATTATGATTGCATTTCAGACCCTGTATTACGATATGATCACACTTTACAAAAGTTACTTTAACAGGCGAAAGATGGTCCATCTGATAATTTGAACCTGGTATTTGACATTTACAAAGGATGCCCCCAAGCCTCTTGCAGCTCTTCTCTGTTCTGGGAGCCTCATTTTTAATGATTTACTGCAGAAAATCAATATTTCGAATTGTGAGATTATCTGTTATGCCGATGATTTATTGATTATGGTGGAGGGAGACTCTCTTGAAAAAATGGAGCAAGTATTTAAAAAAGTGGAAAATGATTTGAAAGAAAGGAGTGACAGAAAGAAAATGTATTTTAATGATGAAAATAACTTGTGGACTTTTTCCCTCGGGGTGGGAGAAAGACCAGACCCCCACAATTGAAATTTAAAGGGTAATCCTATCAAATGAAATATCTAGGAATTATTATCGACAGCAAATTAAATTTTGCGGAACATTTTAAGCATATACATAGAATCATAGAAAACATTTTAAAATCTTATAAGTATAATTTTAATGTCGATACTTTGAATAGAAAGAGTTCCACCCTGAGAGAGATATTTAGAAATGTGGTCATTCCTAAAATATCATATGGAGTCGGAGCTTGGGGCTGCCGAACAGAGGAGGAAATTAGAATTAGAATGAAATTGGACACCCTGCAGAGAGGCTGGATGCTTGCCATTACAAGAGCGTTCAAAACCGTTTCGACTGAAGTTGCCTGCGTCCTTGCGGGTGTTCCACCAATCTCGAGTTTATACAAATTATACTACAAAAAGTTTCTATTAGCTAATAAAATTATTATAGATGCGGAAATTGGACAAAAAGTACTCACGAGGAAGGCCTTTCAGCAAGAGAATGAGGATATTATTCACCCAGTGACACGATTTCGATTATTTTATGATCATGATTTCCCTTCTGATGGCGAAATATACTCAAGAGCCAAAACATTATGACCAGCCCTACATTTTGCGATGAACGCGCCTGGATGACGTGGAAGACACGTGATCAGGTGGAAGTGGTATTTAACTGCTGCTAGAGAGTTTAAGCAAGCATTCTTCACTTACTTCTGTGTGTGATGGCAAAGGCTGCGGATCTAAGCGACTTTGATAGAGGGCAGATTGTAATGGCTCGAAGGCTCGGAACAAGTATTTCCGAAACTGCACGACTCGTGGGTTGTTCGCGATCTACAGTTGTTAGTACGTATGAAAAGTGGATGAATGACAGTGAACCAGCATTAGACGACATGGTGTTGGACGTCCACACGCTAAAGGTCGTCGGAGACTGTCTCGCATGGTGAAGCAAAACCGGAGCCAGACAGTGGCTCAGTTGATAGCCGAATACAATGTAGGGCCAAGTAGAAAAGTATCGGAGCACACTGTTCAGCGGACACTGTTGGATATGGGGCTACACAGCAAACGTCCCACTCGTGTGTCTTTGCTGACCAAGCGTCATCGCCAACTGCGCCTGCACTGGGCCCGGGAACATCACGGCTGGTCCATAGATCAGTGGGAGAGAGTTGCCTGGTCAGATGAATCACGGTTTGTCATTCATCACGCCGATGGTCGTGTCAGGATACGCCGTCTTCCAAGCGAAAAGTTGCTCCCTGAATGAACAGTAGGTCATACACAGGCCGGTGGTGGCGGTATTATGCTCTGGGGGACGTTCTCTTGGGCGTCTCTGGGACCCGTCGTTGCAGTACAGCAGACCATGAATGCTACAGGGTATCTGAACATCATTGCGGACCAGTTGCACCCTTACATGGCCTCTGATTTTCCAGCTGGAAATGGAATGTTCCAACAGGACAACGCCCCGTGTCACAAGGCTACAATTGTGTTGGAGTGGTTTCAGGCACATGATGCTGATTTCCAGTTAATGTCCTGGCCGCCTAACTCACCGGATCTCAATCGGATAGAACACATTTGGGATGTCATGGGACGGCAGCTAAGAGGTCAAAGACCACCAATTCGCAATATCTCGGATTTGCGTGACCGTTGCTACAATATCTGGTACAATCTGTCTCCGGCCATCTATCAAGCACTTGTGGCATTCATGCCAAGGCGGGTTGAAGCTGTGTTGCACGCCAAAGGTGGCCCAACTCGTTATTGACAGGTGGTCATAATGTTTTGTCTCTTGAGTGTAGACGCTTTTACAGATGATTTTGGAACTGATGGCGAGTGGGTAGCGCTGTCGTAATTTATTTTCATGGAGTGGAGATAGACAATGTGAGAATAAAACCTAAACCAATGAATTCAGTTTATCAAGCAGAACTATACGCACTGACAGAAGCTTTGAATTGGATTAATAAAACAATAACAGTTCGATTTTTATAAATATTTATACTGAAGCCCTGTCTGCGCCTCAGGCACTCGCCCAACCAGATCATGAAAATTGACTGATTAATGAAATAAAAGAGTTGTTTAAAAAGTCTGAAAGAAAACATATTGTTAAATTACACTGAAGGCAGTGGAATTGTCGAAAATGAAAGGGCGGAACATCCTTGCTAAAATAGCGGCACTTGATGATGGGACCGATAGTTTTGACATACAAAATAAAAAAATTAGAAAAAAAAAAAAAAAAAAAAAAAAAAAAAGCATTGCTGAAATGGAAAACTGGATTTATACAGAATATAATTTTTTCTGGGAGTCGTCTACTAAGAAAAAGAGCTAATGAAAAATATGAAGTTAAACAAGAAAATGACTATTATAAATAATGTTGATATAAATCAGGTACTGACTAATCATGGGCGTTTCCCGGCTTATTTTAATCGGTTCCATCTGCAGAATAATCATAAATACTGAATATGTGATACGTTTGGGGACGCTAGGCACTTCGTCGATGAATGTGCAGTTACCCGGAGTGCAAGATAGAAATATAGAAGGAATTTTTAAGGAAAATGTTAAAAGGAACTAATCAAATTTGAAAAGTTTTGCAGAGACAGTAATGGATAAGATTATAAATAGAAACAAAACAGAATTGGAATTCAGCACTAAGATTTTGGACTTTTTATGTTTTTTCTTGTATTTGTTTTTTTCTAGGCAGTCCGAATCTTTGATCATACAGCCGGCTTGTGCCGGATCGCCCTTATAATAGGAGGATTGTTATTGTGCCCTTATAATGATAATGATCACACTTCATTCTTTGACTAACTTAACCTGGCCAGAAATTTGTACATGCTCTAGTCAATCACCTGTTTAGTAATTCATTTTGAAATTTGTTCGGTTTTCTCCCCGAATTCTTACAAAGGTTCGCATAAATATACCAGGTTCGATATTTCTTCCTAAGCATATTATCGGAAAGATTTTGCATGGATTGATTCCCAGATTAGAGCGACAGAACCAAGCGTTTGCGAACTGTGACTATTCTAATCTTGCTAAGATTATTTGACTTTATACTGATAATGAAGGAATTTATTCTCTCAAGTAGATACGAAAATTCCTCTAGAACAGCGCTTCTCAACCTTTCCACTAACGCGTACCATCTAAATAAAAACTGAAAAACTTAAGTAACCACCGCTATATTTTACAATGATTTTTTTGTTTTCGATTTCTCAATAGAAATATTAAGAGTAAATATATTTTGCCATTTGCACAACCTATTGGCTACTTGTATTAAATATGCGTACATAAAAAATGGATTACCATTTTTATTATCAAAATTTAAGTTATACTACTTTAATTTTAAAAGTTAGTGCGAAATTTGCGCTTGTTTAAGAGAGACAAATTTCTTTGTCTGGTCTTATTTCACTTAGTTTTAGCCGCAAATTATGATCCACTTTAAATTTTGTTCTGTATTTAAATTTTAAATATAACATGGAAGAAAATCCTTCTTCACACAAATAGATTGTGCAGAAAGGAAATAAAAATTTAATAACTTTACTTGAAATGCGTTTTAAGTTATTTTTCGGTTTAGTCCACAGTGTCGTACACAAGTGTATTATTTTCGAGTTCGATCACAAGAAACTTCTATCAATTTTTCTTTTTCTTCACAAGATTTTTGAATTTACTAGTTAAAAATACTTTTTCTTTGCTTACAACCTAGTATTTTTCTCTAGCGTACCACGTATTTTCCTCTTGCGTACACCAGTGGTACGCGTACACTGGTTGATAAGTGATAAGTGACGGAGGACGTGGGCACTGTCCCTTTACCTTAATGGTTAATCAGTACAGCACCACGTCCGCCATTATCCAGAGCCGCCAATGGGGTTCGCTGCCGTCCAACTGCCCGGGTCCCAGTGTTTGTTGATATCTGAGAAAAATATAAGTACATGGCCATACAGGGGCTTTTTTAACATGCTATTTTTTACAATACGTTACGATACTAATGATTCAATTATAATACATTTAAAAACTTAATTTTGCAGCATGCACTATATATTACGATAATGATTATACAATTCATACATTACCAATTATACATTAGAGTACTAATTATGCAATTTCAATACATATAAGACTAATTATGCAGTACACACATAAACTTACAGTGGTATGTTTACGATGAATAATAGAAAACATACAATTATACAATTATTATACATTACAATACAATTACATTACCAATTATACAATTATACATTACAATACTAATTACATTACCAATTATACAATTATTATACATTACAATACTAATTACATTACCAATTATACAATTATTATACGTTACAATACTAATTCAGTGCTACTGCTAGTAATTCTGATAAATATTACACATAGTTATGCAGTAATTCTCAAATCTATTCTCAAGCATGTAAGTACATATTCAGTGCTCTAGAAGGCTGTGTTGCGTAGGTGTAGTTAATAACGTAACAATCATATTTTCTAAATTAAAGTTACTAGCGACGGCCGAGCGCAGTCGAGGAAAAAGAGGATGATTGCGATTTCACACAATAAACTCCCTTCTTTGCGACGCATATTTTATTTTTTGCTGTACATTACAATACCAAATAATATCAAATAAATCTGATCGAACGATTACCTTACGGTGATATTTTGCGGAACAGTATAGAAATAATTTCGTGACACCTGAGGTTTCGAGCGAGTGGTATACCTGGTATTGATAAATATACATTAAAATTTTAAATGAACATTAGTGTAAAATAACCAAAGCAATTGTATAAAGCTCTGTAAAATTGTTTCTAAGTTTTTTCCAGTTGTTTAGGCATTTGATACATGTGATTCATGGTTGTAAATCGTTTTAAAAGAAATTACGCTGTGCCTACAGTGCAAAGTCTAACCAGGTTATTAATATCGAAGAAGATCATTTTAAATATTAGGTATGCAGACTTCTAAAACGTAAAATGCATATTTTGATAGTGCTTTTTATCTAAAATTTTATTTATTGCTTTGCATTTTTATTCACTTTGCTAATGTTCGTAGAAATTTATAAAATGCGTTCCATATAAATTGTAATCAGAAATATTATTTATTTAAGCCGTTAATCTGGTTTATAAAATAGTATATTTTAATTTTTAAAAGGCGGAGCAATCCCAAATCTCCTACAAGAAGTTCAAGTGCCTATTATGAGCAATGCCATGTGCGTAGATATGTTCAGGGAAGCCGGGCACACGAAACTCATCAAAGATTCATTTTTATGTGCTGGATACAAGGCAGGCGGAAAGGATTCTTGCGAAGTGAGTGCCACATATATTTATGTTATAAAACAAAGTTACACATGTATTATATGCTTTCCTTTTGAAAGCATTGAAGAAGAAATTTTTAATTGTTAATGACTGGTACCAAAATAATTGTGCTTAAGATGTAATATCTAATAGCAATTTGTGACATCCATGTTGTAAATAACTTGTAGTGTCCAGGTGGGTTAACTTCTAAATGGATATAGGAGTAGCAGGAAACTACACAGAAGAAGGGTTCAAACTCTTTATTAATTCTTTAAAATTTAAACTGTCTCAACCCGACGCTCACAAACTTCGCCTCTACTTGGGCGGTGGTAACTGAAAAGTAGGTAATTGAAAATCAAAAGTTGAAATGTTTAACAAGTTCTAAACAAACCTACGGGGCTCAGCGAGATCTCGAACTTCAACCCCCTTCTAAAACTAGGGGCAGCAGATAAATGCAATTTTAAGCCGCTTGAACCAGCAATCAGCAAACGTACCAACGGCAGAGACAGCAGCTAGAGCCCAACTCCCTAACTTCCCTTCTAAAACCTCGGTATTAAACTTTCCTCCTCAAAGTTGAATTTGCATTCTTTCACGCGCGCTACCAAATTTAACTGTTCTGGCACTGACAATTAGGGGAATGAAGGCTTATAGGAAAGTCTAAACTGAAATTTAAATTATTAATTAAAATAAATATAAATACACAGTATTGCTTATTTATAAATTTTAATGATTCATAACATAGATTTTTACGGCGGATAACTAACTATAATTCTTAAAAATGTAAATACTTGTTTTCGTAGGGGTACCCAAAAAACTGGAAGTGCTTTGTTTTCTCTCATATTTACCCTTCCGTCCGCGTTTTTTTTTTTAATATTTTTTTTTTTTAAATAATGATCACACTTCATTCTTTGAGTAACTTAACCTGCTCAGAAATTTGTACATGCTTTAGTCAATCACCTGTATAGTAAGTCATTTTGAAATTTATTCGGTTTTCTCCCCGAATTCTTACAAAGGTTCGCATAAATATACCAGGTTCGATATCTTCCATTAAACATATTATCGGAAAGATTTTTGCATGGATGAATTCCCAGATTAGAGCGACAGAACCAAGCGTTTGCGAACTGTGACTATTCTAATCTTGCTAAGATCATTGGACTTTATACTGATAATGAAGAAATTTATTCTCTCAAGTAGATACGAAAATTCCTCTAGAACAGCGCTTCTCAACCTTTCCACTAACGCGTACCATCTAAATAAAAACTGAAAAACTTAAGTAACCACCTCTATATTTTACAATGATTTTTTTTCAATTTCTCAATAGAAATATTAAGAATAAATATATTTTGCCATTTGCAAAACCTATTTCAGCAATTTACGATGCTGGAATTGGTTGTGCCATTTGCACAACCAATTTCAGCATCGGAAAATCGAGAGGGAAAAACAGTGCGAATAATTTAATTTCCGAAAGTTGCAAACTAAGAACCCAAGAAATGAAAAGTATTCAATAAAATAAACTGCAGGTAACCCTCACAATATTATTTACTTAAAGTAAACCTATTTTCCATTAAGATTACATAGTCATATTAACATTACAGTATCTAATAGGGTATCTTCTCTTTCACGGTTTTGTAGCTTGAATCTTGTCGGTTCTTATTAATGTCTCTTGTACTCCTTAAGCCTCAAATCATTCATAATTAATTAGAGAATGTGAAGGCACACCTGGATCAGCGAGATCACGAACTAAATGTCGGTTCATATTTGCTTCGGTATGATTGGTTGCTTCTTGTATTAGGCTGGCATATAGTTCAACAGTTAGAAGAAAAAGGTTTGGCATGACCTTGGCAAGTAGTGTGTTAAGGCTCGTGTTTGTTAGAAAGACCGAAAACAATCAGTACGTGGACGAATACATTCTAAAATTAAGGGGAACTTGCTCTCTAATCGCACTGAGGAAGGAGAAAATTGCGCGAATATTTTTAAAATTTTTCAAAATCTGTCCCTAAAAAGTACGGCAAATATTCGCGAGGTAATATGGTATTCTTAAAAACATTTGTGAAATAATACAGAAGGAGCGCACATCCTGTATGCAGTAGAAGGCATTTACATACTGCACAAGGGCCGTTGAATTCGATCACTATTCGAGGTCACTCTCAGAAACTGTATATTGTACGACTGAGAGAATTGAAAGACAAGTTGAAAGACACACAGTTGATCTACTTTGTATTGTAAGCTTTGAGCAGATATTGTCGTTTCCTTTTCATGTTTTTTGGACTGCAATGATTTTAATATAAGTCTCGGCTGGAGATGGTCGTCTATTTGCAACAGCATGATATAAAGTATTGTGCTTTCAGTTTTAAATTCTTGAACAAGGTCGCAAAAATTTCTCTTGAAAGCAATATTTCTTTCGGAAAATGTCCTTCTATGCAAATGAAGATGCTTATGAAATATTCAGCAGCATGCTAAGTAATTGATCGTAACAAAAAGTATCATTTCTGTTCTCTAGAACCTGAGGGTCATCATGTTTAATTTCACACTCTGAAAGGATGAAAAACAATGCATATACACGCGGCTGATTTCCTAGCAAAATTATAATGTAATTAAATATTGAACAGAAACTTGCAGTGTTTGAATAATATTTAAAAAAATAGTAAAATGCGTCTTTTCCTGTAATTTTACAGCTATTGGTATATCAGCTTATAACAGAATAAAAGTGGCTAAAACTAGAGCTAATTGCTAATTTATTATTATCCGATCATCAGAATTTCCTTTTTCTTACAGCAAAATATATTGATATAAATGTTTCTTAACTTATTTCTTAACTCATCCTATAAATGGCGATTTGGGATAATTCCGATATATTATGGAGCTTAATACCCTACATTTTCTAACTATATCTACTAAATTTAAATGATATCTACTTTCTTTCTAAGTATTTCTACTTCATTCATCCTTTTCGGTTACTACTGAAATAACAAGTCGATTCAAATGAATTCGATCATTATTTCGCATAGCTATAATGAGAACACTCGTTTCGATCCTTAATGCAGATTTGAAAGTCCATCGTTAAATAAAATTGTTTAATTACAAGATACTGCTGATACCTTTATAAACAATAAGATCAAAAGCTAGATCAAAAGCTGTCGTCAAATTTTTGTATGGATTATTTTGGAATCCTTTTGCTACCCAGATATAAATGCATTTGCAAGCCTTTGAAACAAATCCAACAGCAGATTCAAAAGCAGTTTGAGCAAGTACAGATAGAAGTGGGCTATGCAACAAAATTTCATCATCGATCATGTTAGTCTTCGCCCCAGGTGTGATGGAAAACAGCCATTACAGTTATCACACAAGGGAATGATCCATAAATCTCCTACCCCCTCTTCGTCTGCCATTAAAACATTTGAGAGGGCTTTCGGTTCACAAGTACTTTACGTGCCCCCCCCCATCGTGTCACACAGACGCTATATACTTTCAAACATATGTGCCTCCTCCGGAATTCGAAGGCGGGTTCAGCGATACAGCTGCTAGCATCGCTAACCACTACACCAATCAGAATGGCTGGAATTTCCAATAATCCTTCAATAAAAATCGTTTTATTGAAGAATTATTGGGAATTGCATGAAGGCGAATTATCATTTCATCGGAATGTGTGCTGTATTTCACGAGTGGATGTTTTTGATATGAGGAAATTGAAAATGCTCGAATCTAACTTTATTTAGGCGATGCAACAGTGCTTTGGAAATTTAGCGAAATTTTAAAATTTGGTCCGAAATTTGGAAATAAAATTCTTCAGAGATTTCGTTATTCGCGATCAAAATCTTCACTTTTAATATTTTTTGGGTTTGTCTACAGAATCTTAAAAGTTAATATTTTTTTACCCTTATGCATTTCTAAATGAGTGGAGTCATATATATTTTTGAGAAAATTTGTTTGTTCAGGTTTGGAAATTATGACCAGAAGATTGTTCATTACAGTTTTCTTTGAAATTCAGAATAAAGCTTATTCTTTTAAATAATGCTTAATTTTATATTAATCTTAATAATTAAGTTTTCAAATGGGACAAATGCCATTCTGCTTAATTGTAATGGCGATATGAAACGAGTAGTATGTGCTTACTTACATTTTTCTTGCCCCTAAATTCTCTGAATGAACATTACGCTTTAATTTAATTAAGAAGTATTTCTGCTAAAATACAGAGTTACGAGATGTTACAATGACTGGATGCTGTCGTTAACTTGTACTCTTGTTGAACGTAATTACGCTCAGGCATAAAACGCTCAGAAGGAGTGTGATTCATCAACGTTAAATGTTTGTTCCACAGATGCCCTTCGCATTTAACGCATTAGTTAATAAACTAATGCGAAGGGCACAACAGATGCCCTTCGCATTAGTGTATTAGCGCTTTTTTCTCTAAAGAGTTAATACACTATTTATACTCGAGAGCAGCATCAGTCAGGTGCCTTTTATCACCCGTTTAACCCCACACATCATGATCTCATGTCAGCAGACATTTCGAAATATATAAAAAATTGGTTATTTCAAGCTTTTGTGGTATTAATTTCAAATAATCTTTACACGAAGGTGGTTCTAATATGATTAATTTTTTATTTGATTGTATATGTTTGCTTTTGCCCCCTTCAAGTGTAATTAATGCACATAAAATTTTGCATAGAAGGCTGGCTTTCTAATTCCTTACACAGGAAAATTTTTGCCATCTCCTGAATGATCCGGTTTCGTTTTGAATCTACACTAGAGGAAAATACTAGTCAAGATACAAAGTGATAGGTTCATTTTTTAGTTATAAAAAAGAAAATAACATTATTCAGGACATTTTGGGGAATTGGAGGGGTTCAGGGTCAAATACTTAGAGAAATACTGGAGGCAAAACACGTTTAACTTGTGTTTGACGCAACATAATCTTTCAGGGTTTGCGCCAGAAAACCCATCATCTCCACATAACATGAGTGTAAATATGAAAATATATACAGATTAGAAAGCTTAGCCTCTAATAATAA